ATAATTTAGTATAACTGAATAGAATTACATGGTAGCATATGATTTTTGTATTTCAATTATTAATAATAATTACTATTCTATAAGCATACTTATGATGAAAGAATTAACTGCAAATTAAGTAGTATACTTAATAATACCTGATATTTATGCAAGCAATATATATGGTTCCATTATAAAATTCATAGGTTTCATTTAACCAAAAGGGTTCTCTTTTATCACCCATTATCCCTTGAAGGAATTAAAGTTAGGATATTTCTACAGGGACTTTCAAGTCAAAAGTGGTAAAACTACTGTGTCACCATAACTACTAACTTTCTATGACTTCTCTAACATTATATAGAGCAATAAAATTAAAGATGTGTGATAAGACATATTAAATAATCCAATTGGAAGACAAAAATGTCTTTCATTTCCTTATGCATAGAGTAGCAAATATGAACCTCTCATCTGTGGACTAGAAGGTTATCTCCTTTACCTCCTGCCAATACTACCAGCAAGAGCGCACTTGCTTCTATCTACCTGAGTACATGCACCCAGAGTGCGTGTTGTAAAATGCTAAAGGAGGTCCAACTTGATTGGAACAAAGCATTAACAGACGCTCTTAACTCCTAACTTCATTTCATTGTAGACTAACATTTAATGCCTTAGAGCCTGAATACATAAAATCTTCAAAAAGAACAGGTGTTGCATGGAAATTAACGTTACAAATTGACAAAAGTAAATATAGTTTTATTTTGACAATAAAAAATTCTACAAAACAGTTATAGAGTGAACCATCACTTCATCAATTTATCATATGTTAAAGTCTACATAAGAAGTGCTCGGTAAAGGAGCTTTTTCAGAATCTACATAACCCTCCGTATAACTATTTATTCAGGACTCATAGCAAGCTAACATAAGCTCAAAAGAGTATCTTTGGAAAAAGAGAAAAGCTCATATAAAATATATCAGACTTTGTCAAAATTTCAATGATTGTTTAATTCAGAAGAATATTAAATTATAGATTTCAATAATTATTTAATTCAGAAAAATATTAAATTATAGATTAGCCACAACTACAAATGTAACAGTGCACATGATTTTATAATTTATGAATTACCAAACACAAATTTAAATATAACTTATATAAATTTATATTATAGTCACATTTTTTAAAATCGTGAAGTTCCCATTTAAACAGACAAATCCCATGTGTTTGGGTTTTACTTTTTTTTTTTTTTTTTTTTTTTTTTTTTTTTTTTTTGCAGTACTGAGGATTGAACTCAGGACCCTGTGCTTGCCAAGCAAGCACTTATTCTACTGAGTTATCTCCCCAGGCCCTGGATTTTAATAAATATTCCAAGTAAATTAGAAACCGCTTACCTAAGCTGGCTGTCTGCATTCGCTAATTCAACTTTGTAAGGAACAAGGTTTCCTGGTTCTTCAAATTCCTCTTCGTAAGGCTTATTAAATGTATTTTACACAATATTAATACATTCAATACTTTATTATATGTTAAATAGGTAAAGGCGATATTTATGGTACTTTATCTTAACAAATAGTAGCGTGACTGCTGTGGTTGTATCTCCTAATGTCCGAGCATTACAAGAACTAACCAAATTCAACTGTGTCTTCAGGGCGTGTGATTGTCACTCCACTTGTCACAAAAATTATCACAAGAGCCAACAATAACAACTGATACCTTACTACTAGTCAAGTAGATTAGTGACTAAGAGGGTTTTTTCTCTGACTTGCGTATCAAGTTTATTCTATGCATCAACCATTTAATGAATAGGTCATGTGTGTATCTGTGTATGTTTTTGACTGTGAATATGTTCAATACCTCAAAATTATACAGGGAAAAAACCACAAATGTTTCTAAGCAGAACAGCATGGTGACCAAAAAAAGAGCAGCATTTCATTTAAGAGGTAGTTTCTGCATTTTCCTCATTTTCTGTGGCACCCACAGCGAAAGAAACCTCAAGCAGTGGTACATACAGCTGCTGGAGGACTGGAAAAGTCAGACATACGGTGACTTTGTCCGACCCTCGGCAGTGGTGGGCACCGATGTGTGCACACCACAGCAGGCTGCCTGTTATCACTGAAAGCTCTAAGAGTCTTACCATCACTGGCCTGCAGCTACGGCTCTGGCTGCCTCTGGCTTTAGATAACTGCCGTGATATGTGCTAGGGGTTCAGGCTCAAATTGCAGCAAACTCCTTCTTAATTCTTAAGTGCAATGTCTTTCTTTAAGTAGAAAATATTAAAGAACATTCAGGAAAATATATTTGATCTTAATTATTACTGAATGGATCCTATGAAACAAGGTTGTACTTTATTTGGCAAACTCCATCAAAACATAAGCTAACTGAACATCAAAATATATTCCACAAATTAACAGAAGGAAATGTTTTCTCACCTCTAATACTGCATGACTCTAAAAACAGAACAATATACATTTAGGTCACAAATTCAGTGTCTACATTAAAAGTGTACTGTTCTGCTTTTTAGCACTATGTTTAAATTCAAACACATTAATTTTCTTTTAATGGTCCCATTGTAAAAGAAATCTTCTTAACAATAACATTTATAGGAAATTGTATACTCTGGATTTTCTCTTAGTTACAGAATGTAAATAGTCATTATTCACTTACCTCATCTAATTCTGTTATCTGTAGAGATGGTTCAGGTCTCTCTACCTTTAATTCTTCTACAGGCAGGAAAAGGGTTGGGTATTGTACTTTGGCCTCCTCGACTAGAAAATAAAGTTAGAAAATAATGCCATCAAAGGCTATCCATTACCTGATTATTTTCTTAAAATAATATTACCAATATTACTCATACAAGAAAATACTATCCATTTCCCTGGTTCAGTTAAACGCACAATGCCTTGGCATTCAATTTTTAATTAACACTATTTTAAATTAGAGGCAAAGTAAATCTAGAGAATGGGAAGACAGTATGTACGATATTGATTGGGATATAAAGGGTTACACACTCAGCTTGAGAATGAAACCTTGAAGAGTACCAAAAGCAGATTGTAGTCAATAATTTTGCTATACACAATTTTAAATAAACTCTCCTTGAGGAGAGTTTTAAGGGCTCTCCTCAAGGCTGAGCTCACCATCACTATCGCCATCGTTTCCATTCTGGAGGCCTTGGGTCCCACTGCTAGCTTCACGTGGGTGCACGGACGTGTCAGGAAGCAGGCTCAGATGCTGCTCCTGTGGAGTTCTGTAAAGCAAGAAAGACATAATTAAAAAATTGAGATACATTATCTGTTGAATATAATCTTGATTTATCTGTTGTACAAGTGAGTATACAAAATTAATGATGAAATCATAACTGTGCATCTAATTCACAGGAGAAAATGATTATGTCACAAAATCTTAATGGATTTAAAAACTTTGCAAGTCAACTGGGCATCATACAAGATTTTAAATTACATATCCTACTGTTCTTTGCTTAAGATGAAAATCAAAGTGAAGATAGACGTCAGTGTTCTCTCAGAAGCCACATGGAGTCCAGGAGAAATAACATGCTGTTTCAAATGCTAATTTACAAGTTTGTGTTTTATCTTACAACCTTTGCATTATCATGATGAGCTCCAAGGGAACTTGAAGACATTTGTTTATACCTCCACCATATCAGCTGCATAATAAAATAGGCCACCATGACATACTAAGGTGCTCTGGCTGTGACTTCTACTATATAATTAATAGTGAGGAGAAATGCAACCCATTTCAGATGGAGTCCATGAAGTGCAAGGAATGTCTGAGGACAAGGTGTGTGTTTGGCTCCTGATGGCACTCCCAGATTACTAGGGAAAGAGGTTACATTTAATCAATGATATAAATAGCTACACATGCTGTTTAGGCAAGGTGAGTTCATGCAGGCCCAGATGAAAAAACAGCTCATCTTAATGATATTCGTTGTTAATATCAATCCAAAACTTATAATGTACCAGACCTTGCTCTAATTTTGGTACATTAAATTTTAATAGAAACTATTAAGTAAGCACAAGTCTTATCTTAATTTTGCAGATAATAAAATCAAGACCAAGCAAAGGTAACCCCCCTTGTTCGAAGTCATTCAGGGAGCAAATGCATAAGAGGAATCTGAATGCAAGCAGTCTGTCCCCCAAGCCAGGGAGGCACGAAACTGTGGCACAGTTCAGGAAGTCTTTGGCTGTGTGTATTTCCTAATAGATGGAACGGATCTATGCGATAAAGTCAGAATACTTATGTAGACTTAAATTTATGCTTTAAATAAATATAAAATTTAAGGGGGGATAGCTCACTTGTCTAAGTGCCTGCCTGGTAAGTGCAAGGACCTGAGCTCGATCCCTAGTACCACACGCCGCGCAGGCCCCAGAACCCAGGGCTCACCGTGCCAGCCCGAAACGGGGCGTGGTGGTGCATGCCTGTAATTCAGCTCTATATCAAATGAATTAATTAAATTTATGCTTTAACAAACTTAAGAGTGACATCTAAGAATCTATAAAGTCAAATGTAAGTGACATCTGGTCACCAAACTGCCATCTAGTTTGTCCTGGGTCTGCTGTTTTAGTAACTCAGCATACACGTGATCAACTGTGCTGTTACTCAGACTACTTTTCTTTATGACAAATTAAAGCATTTCTCTAATTTGGAGTAAAGCCCCTCTACCAAAGATTTACAGAATATGTTTCCTGGAGTACTGGAGTTTAAAGGGTCCTATATATTATGTAGTCTAAACTCAGTATTTTATAGAACTTATAGCACAAAATTTCAAGTGATGTAATTTTCCATTTGAACAAACAAAATTGGATAATAAATGAACTCAGTCTAGGTTATGGATATTTGGACTTGGGTACTGAATTCTTATTAAGTCCTGCCAAATAAAAAAGTTTGTTTCATCTCACCATATTTCTCTTTCTTAAAATTTAGAAGATATTTGTTGGGTATTGATTAACACAGTTGGGTAAACATGTACTAAGCAATTCCGAGCCTGTGCTGTGACTCAGTGTCAGGCAGGCTGTCTACATTACAGTGGCCGATCAAGCAATAGCACGAAGTCTCATGCCCACTCTGAAAGACATTACTTTTAGGTCAGTTCTGAGTTAAGTCCAGGAATCAGTAGTGTAAAGACTTGTCCCAGGTGTTTCCATGAGCAGTGTTATATGCAATAAAGAGAGAAGGGGAGACAGATATCAAGCAACTGTCCATAAAATTCCAAATCTATATTTTCTATTTTTTGATTATTTATTTATTTATTTATTTATTTAATTGGTGCAGGGTCTCACTATGCAGCTCCAACTCATAGTGATCCTCCTGCCTCAGACTCCCCAGCACTGACATTACAGGTAGTGCCACCACAGCCAGTCCAAGGTCAGCACTCCATGTGGTACTAGGGATCAAACTAGGGTCCTGGTGCTTGCCAGACAGGCATTTAGACTGCTGAGCTCTCTCCTCAAGCCCCAAGTCTCTATTTCCATGAAATTTGCCAGGTTTAAAAATTTCTCGAAAGTATAGAAATAAGGTGTACAAAACTTTCACATTGCCCCAAATAACTGGATTTCCTTCTATTTTAAGTTTGAATAATATTTGTGTGTGCTTGGATGTGGGTGAGGGATGATTTCAGCCTGTTCATGGGCACTTACGTATTTTCTTGGCTAAGAAATCAGTAAATTAAGTCATAAATTAAACAAGCCAGATATACAATTACTATGTTGTTTAAAGAAAATCTAAGACCAGAGTTAACCAAAGTCTGAGCAAGATAAAAAGTTCTACAATCAGGAAGCAAAGATCACCTAGATGTACCCTTGAACCACAGCTTTCACCAAAATGAAAGAAGCATATTGATTGTCTACAGTTACATTTCCTTATGAGTTCATGTTTTGGCATCTTTTAGCCTGTTGGACTGGAGGTTCAGCTGACATTATATGTAATTTATAGGTTTTCAAATTATATTTCACTAAGGATGGGATGAGGAAGATCTACCATTGCGCATATAGTGTGTACAGTTAAAATATATTAAAAAAATAGTATCCACATTAACAAAAAGGCACTAGGGTATATATGTACAAGCCTTTTATAAAACAGGACAATAAACAAACAGGAAATCATGGTCCTGACTATCAACATGGGAAACTTTTCTGAAGCACAGCATCCAAAGTGCAGGGTAAACTTGGGATTTGTACACAAGTTGAAAAAGACTAACATCTATGATAATTTAATCTATAATCAAACATCAATACTCAAAAAATTGTTAAAAATGAAGCTTTGAGGCAGGGTATAGGATGGGAGCCTGAGATCCCAAGTACTTAGCAAGCTAAAAGAAGAGGATCACTTGAAGCTGACAGGCTCAGACAAGCTGGAAACATAAGAAGACCCCAGCTCAAAGTAAACAAGCACATGCAAATAAATATCCACAGTCAAAAAGGTTACAAACGTTCCTTCTTGTTAGAAAAAGATGTAAGTACCAAGTATAAATTAGTAAGTACTAAGTATAACTCAGGACTCAATATACCAGTGATGAGAGCTTCTTAGATGAGTCCAATTACAATGATGGTGGCCATTTAATTTTGAAAGTTCTGTTTCCTTTATTGTATAAGAGCCTCAGCATGATATAATATTAAAAGGTATCCACAAGTGATAGAAGACTTTGGAATTGCATCTATGTATTAACTGCTAAACTATAAAGAGCCAATTAACAACCCTACACTGCTGAGTTTGAAACATTAAAAAGAGCTATGGACATCATATTTTAAAATAGATACTGATAGCCAGGGTGTTAGTTACAGAGGAATAACCAAAGTAGTAACTGAACTAACTTAAAATCCTACCACATATATTATATAGAAACATGATTACATATACTTATTTAATTGGCAAACAAAAGGCAAAAACATTGAAAGTTCCAGATGAATCAGTAGTAACTGCAACTCTCACACACTGCTGAAGGAAATAGAAATGGAACAGTCACTACAGTTTGGTATCTTCTTTAAAGGTGACCACACACTTACCATGTAACCCACCATTCTAGTCCTACATGTCTGTGCAGAGGATTACAAGCACATATAAAAATATATCTATACATTTTTCTACCTACCAATCAATAATATATGAAAAATACATAGTTATGAAGCCTAGTTGTAATTATTCCAAACTAGAAACCAACAGGAGGTACTTCAGGATAAGAAGAGAACAACCAGGCACAATGATAAAACTCTACTGGAAGTCAAGGTAGACATTATACACATTGTCCACCCTTACAGTTACCTTATGGGTTTCATATGTTCTTTGATCTATTAGTCTTGTAACTGTGCATATGAAAATTAACTTTATAAGGTTTTATGGATCTGATAGTAGAAAAATAAAAGGGAATAAAGAGGAAAACAGAATTGAATGAGTTATATGTATATTCTAAATCTCCACAGTAAGTGTAATCATTATATACTGCAACTAGGTACTACTAAAATGAAAAAAAAACATTCCACAATAAACACGAATGGCTATTGATTTGTATAAGAGCATACATAAAAATTAGAAGCATTTTACTAAATGAAGGGCCCAAAATGCTGCACAGTGAAAGATTTCATTTATGCGACCTTCAGAAGAAGGCAAATTTATTAAGGATAGAAGGCACATTAAAGCTTGACATTGGTTGGGGGAAGGAAAGTTGACTAACAAAGTAAAAGCACATGAGAGTGTTGGAGGTGATGATCCTGCTTAGTTTGGTATTGTGATGGACACATGACTCTTCGCACCAGTAAAAACCAGTAAAAACCCACAGAATTTACCCCTTAAATTCACTCAAAATTCTAAAATTATAATATGAGCAGAAACCAAGGAAAGGAATAAACACCCTAAGAAGGTTCAAAAGAAATGATGTTATGAGCTATACTGCAGAACAAGGTCTCAATTGGACACTACAAGCTAACAACAAAAGCCACTACACATGAACACTGTGATTGGAAATTTCATTTCTCACAATGTTTTTATTAATTTTGAAGCCTATCTATCTACCTATACCTGACTACTTACATCTAGCTCTATCTCAGTTAACAAACTGATGATCACAGATGATTAAAACCAAGATTTTTGCAGGTGAAAGGTAATTCAAGTAAATGAAGGGAATATGCTAAAGGAACCGTGCAATGCTCATTTGATAGCAGAACTATCAGTGGAAACTCATATTGTTTACACAGACGCCAGAACTGTTAGGTGGAAAAGTAAGTTTAGACATTTATTTACTCAGGGCTTGATCAAGGTACTAAAAGAAGTCTGATTTGTGACACGGAACACAGTGGTACACACACAGTGCCCAGATCTTGTTTTGTGAATACCGTTCTCCAATAAGAGGAATCAGAAATGTTTGAAGTTGTGATTCCTAGGCTGGGACAAGAAAATCCAGTGCAAGAAAAACAAGGAGATATTTATTCAAAGCAAGCCAATAAAAAACAAACACAGAATAATAAAAACTAGTCAAAGAACAGAGGAGTCAACCTCAGAGAGCCCTTAATGGCCAAAGTGGAGACAATTTCACTCATATATTAGATATTCACCACAAAAATAAATATCCATGTGTTTACTTAAATAAGCCAACTAATAAGCCAGTACAAGCATCTTCTTTGAGGACCGCAGAAAATCATCACTGGGGCAGGAGAGTAATAACTGCTGTGGCAACAATCTACTCACTAAAGCTAGAATCAAAAGAAAACACAGTGTTTGTGTCATTCAAATGCACCTTCTAAAATATAACTTTTAAATATTTTTTAACTTTTAAATATTAATTGTAAAGGGAAAGCAATAGCTCTACATTGGAAGACCTTGGCGAGCACCTCCTGAATTGCAGGATCAAGGTGAAAGCATGGGTAATAAGAGGATTAACATGCTCATCCCAAAATTTTATGCACTAAGGAAACATCCTCTCTTTGGTCATCTTCCTCAAAGCACACGACTTTTATCTAACTTAAAACAATCAGCTTGGTCCACATTTAGTGCATTGTATGAAAAAATCTGTCCAGTACTTTTCAAATGTTATGGTCATGAAAAACAACAAAGACTGGAGAACACCAAAGAATGTAGTGGATTAGGACATAGATGGGTGACAAAAAAAAAAATAAGATCCTGGGTCAGATTCTGGAGCAAGATGAGAATATATGTGAAAGCACTGATAAAATTCAATAAATTCAGTAGATAAGTCAATATTTGGCTAATGTTGACTTATTTATTCTCATAAATTCACCTTTATTGTGTAAGATGCATTACTAAGAAAAGCTGAAAAATTAACATGCATAAATTCTATATTTTTTATATTCTTCTGTATCTTATTTCAAATTAAAAGAAAATAAATCTGCCACATTAGATTCAGTTGAAGGGGGAAGATGGTGCAAATATTAATCTATTGAACAGAAACTTCTGAAGTGGACTTTTTTGTTGTTGTTTTTGTATTTTAGGGAAGGGTCTAAAGGGTGTTCAGGGTCTCACTACTAGATCAGAATTGTAATGATCTGCCTGTTTACAGCCTCCCAAGAGCTGGGATTATAGGTGCGCACTACCACTCCCAGTCTCAATTGCTGTCTCAGCAAGCCCTGGGGGCCTAACCGGCGCGGCAGGCCCAGGAATTGAACCCCAGGCCCCTGCGCCTGCTTGCAGGTACTTTAATCCGCAGAACTATTTGGCTAGCCCTGAAGTGGACTAACTTTTAAAAGTTTAAAATGTATTATAGACAAGAGAAATTAGACTTACTCATGTGGATATAATGGGTACAATTGCAACCAAGAAACTGGATGGAGATCACACAAAACTCACTGGGAGAAATGATGTGAAGACAGAATGGGCCAGGTCAGGAGATGGCTCTGAGTGAAGGTGAAAAAAGGGCCGGATGACCACTCCTCAGATGCCTTCTAGAGCTCTCTTGCTCCCCTCGCTCCTCCACTGATGGCCTAGAGCTTGTATCATCCATCAGCATCACAGAGGGAACAAACAGAAGTTCAACAACACCAAACCTTAGGCTCCATTTTCAGTCTTACTAAAGAATTTGTATTTTCTCACATTCTCTAGGCAATTGGAAAGCATAAAGTGTGAACTTCTCTAAAACTGAGTTTATCACCTTTAAATGTACCTACAAGGAGCAAATTCCCAGATAGCTCAGCTGATTAAAGCACTTGCTTAGGTAGATGAAGGAACTGGGGTTCAATCCCCAGCATGCCGTGCCAGTCCCGCCCCTGTAGCATGCTGAGAGAGCAATTGAGACTGGGCGTGATGGTGCGCACCTGTAATCCTAGTGGTTGGGAGTCTGAAAACAGGAGGATCACTACGAGTCTGGTCTGTGTAGTGGGACTCTGTAGACCCTGTACTAAATGTATTAAAATAAAAAAGACTATAACTTGTGCTCATTTTTAATTTTAATTTTAACATTTTAATAATTTTGAAAACAATTTATATAATAGTTGTCTTTAGATGAAGCACATTTGATTACTATCGCTCAATTTATCAAGATAAGGTCCAATTAACAGTAGGTTGTCAATTATTTAAGTTAATATGGCAGTATAATTCATAATAGAAAAAAATCTGGAAGCATTCTACACGTCCACTGTCTCAGTTACTCTTCCCTCTTCTGGGACAAAAGAACTGACACCCAAAGTTAAGTAAGTAAAGATTTATTTAGCTCACAGTTAGTGGAGGTTTCAGTCCATACTCAGCTGGCTCCAAGGCAGGATGGCACATACCAGACAGCAGTAATTCATGGGGGCAGCAAAGGCAAAGAGCAAGAAGGAGGGGCAGCAGCTGCAGCTTCTAGCAAGTCTCTCTTCTTCACATCTTTATGCAGATTATCTCCCCAAGGGCACCTATATCCATAATCCCAGCATGGGTCCAAGAATCAATCACAAACTCCAAAATCCACCCCATGACTACATGAGGCTCCGGGGGGACAGCTAGACACAAACCATAACATCCACCAACAAATAAATGGATAAAGAAAACATAGTTTTTATATACGCAGTGAACAACTGCTCTGCTATAAAGAAAGATAAATTTGAATCATCTTTAGGATGACAAGTGATTTGTCAGATTATAATATTAAGTAAAATAAATCAGATACACCAGCTTAAACAACACATGGTTTATCTTATGTAATAAACCCAAAACAAATAAAGAGAAAAACAAAAGATAGATAATAGGAAACCAAGGTAGACTTTTGCAAATAGGATAGTGAATAAAAGATGGAAAGAGAGGAGGGGACGTAAAAATAAGATGTGTTATATACATGTAACAGACCCCATGATGCATGTAATTATATGTACTGTAAACATGTACTGATAAAGATAAAAATGTTAAAAAGTTTAGGATAATGTAAAATCTTAACAGCTCTTCAAAGTGATCTATTTATTGTACTGCTTATTATTATTCTTAAATTTGATGCTATATTTATGTCTTTTTCTCAAAAACAAAACTCCATTTCTCAAGACAATTCTAAATTACTGAAGCATCACAATAATAAATTTAAGTAAAATTCTTATTGGAATCATAGAAGCTTCAGATAGAGTTAATATTAATTTCAGATTATGTATGCAAATAAAAACATGAAATTGTTGCAGAGAGACATGTCCGACAAAGAATATAAGATATTTACATTTCTTTATGATAATACTAAAATTTCACAATATACCTCCTGTGTTTTTTAAGCCATAATTTTTCCATGTAGGAGAGACTACTGTCTTCTTTAAATTCAATGCTTATAGGTTCTCTCCAAATTTTCAAGTTAGTTTGCACCTCACATTCTTCCAATGAATCTAGGAAAAAAAATGTGCATAATTAATGTAATGAGGTATAAAACTTACCCTGTCTTCTCTGAAGATACAGAATCCATCACTGCTAAATGTCCTTTGACTTTACATATAAAAGTAATAAGTTTATTTTGAAGTAATTTTATAGTGGTAAATATTTTTGATGCATTAAATGACTTTCCATTTTTGTTCAAAAACACCTTGATAAGAAAGGATCTCATGATGCCCCAGTTTTGTTTCAAAGCAACTAGTTCTTTTGAGTGGAAAAAAGAAATACTGTGCAGGCCATTCACAGTACCGTGCGCACACACAAACACACACATGTGCATTATAGTCACTGTCAATAATATTTATGCATTCTGAGAAAAGGAAAATAAAGTGGAGTGGCACCTGGAGTAGACATCTGTGCTTAATAAATTTAATCTACACAGTAATTAATGTCTATATACTTAGGTTATTTCTGCTAGTCTACCAAAGTAAAGTCACTCTTCAGAACTGTTGGTTGGATTCTGTTTTATCACCTGGTGGCAGACTCACAGGTCTTTTTTGTTGTTGTTCTATGTCATAAATAATTTTATAAAGTTTCTTTTGTATATATGTATAATGAAAAGTAAAATATTTACAAACATATGAACAAAACACAACAAATGC